AGAAGAAGAAGAAGGAGAAGAAGAAGAAGGAGAAGAAGAAGAAGGAGAATGAGAAGAAGAAGAAGGAGAAGGAGAAGAAGAAGGAGAAGGAGAAGAAGGAGGAGGAGAAGAAGGAGGAGGAGGAGAAGGAGGAGAAGGAGAAGGAGAAGAAGGAGAAGGAGGATGTTGGTCCCGTAAGGGTCTACAAGAATAGAAACAGTTTGTAGAAGGGGGGTGAATACAAACACAATATTTTCAAATCTAAAATATATATTGATAGAGAAGATCAATACAGATTTTACAAGACTGTTTGCGGAAAGATAAGGTAAAGAAAACCTATCTAAACAATCTTTGGTTACACACAGATCTTTAGCAAATACAAGAAAAGAGATTGCTAAAAGGAAGATCTTTTACTTAAGCTAGAAGATGCTTGAAGTAAGAAGAGGATAGCAGAGAGATGCGTGCACTCTGCATGGAGAAGAAACACTTCTCTTTATACCTAGTGCATTAAATGAACATTTAATGTAATATGGTAGGTTTAGAGTGCGTGTCAAGCCTTAAGAGGAAGGCTTGTCCTTTGCTACAGTGAATTGTACAAAAGCACTATTTTTGAGCAGACATCCTTGCCTAAAGTTGGTGGACAAAGAGTCGACTAATCGGTTCTGTACCGTACTAACTTTTGCAAGGGTATGGGTTTGTCCAGTGTCCCACCGTGTTTAGATCGTCCGCTGATGCTGACGTTGATGATTGGGCGGGGATTGAGTCTCTTTTTCAGCTTTGCTTCGCTCCATTGCTTATCCTTGTCCACTAGCTTCAGCTTCTTCTTGCGTTCAGCTTCTGCCATAGAAAGAAGTTTAGCTTGGGCTTGGACAACACTCACCGTTTTCTTGGAGTTTTTCTTGGGAAGGACTTTAGCAGCTAGAGACTTGGCCAGCTTTAAGCTGTCTTTAGTCTGTTTCCTTTGAAGCTCTAGCTCTTCTTCAGCCCTTAATGCCTTGAGTCTTTCAGCTTCAGAAAGGAAGTCAAACTCACCACCACTAGAGGTATGAAGAGGAATTTTTACTCTAGTCTGGTCGAGTGACTCCTTAAGTTGAGACATCTGCTGGTCTGTTGGAGTATAAGAGCTGGGCTGATCAGATACCCACTCCAGTCGACCGAAGGTTGTTGAAGGGATGTGAAGTTGGTATTCTGAAGTGATCACTACCTGAGAGGTAGAGTCTTCAAATAAGGTTTGTTGAGGGCATGAGAAAAGTACCTTCAAGTTGCCTTCTTCAGCGACCGCCTTGYCTTTCGACTTGGGGTCCTGGTGCCCTGATGGAGTCGATTYRCCTTGTCTTTGCTCCCCTTGGGATTGAGCTTCCCCGAGGGCAACACCTCTGGTGACAGTTGATGGCTTCTGGAACTTGATGGTGAAATCATCTTCATCATCGTCGTCGTCGTCACCATCTAGATCATCTCCGGTGTCTGGAATGACAGGTTCATCATCGTCTTCATCATCATCTTCATCCTCATCAATATCATCATCATCACCAACAGCAGTGACGGTATGGACATCATCCCTAGGGATGGCTTCGTCAACCTCAGCTAGAGCAACTTCGGTGGACGTGATTACAGGAGCAGCAACTGCTTCAGCTTCAAGAGCCTTGGCTTCAACTGTAACTGAAGCTGATACTGGACCAACAGCCTGAGAAGCTGTAGGAGCAGCATCTGATGATCAACTAGCGTTGGACCTCATCTCCCCCTCTCTGGCTAAGACTTGAGAGAATTGGCCAGAGAGTTCGTCCAAGCGCTGTCGCTGGAGAACCATGGAATCCTCCAGCCTTTGCAAAGGATTGGCTAGAGTTGTCATTGCCTCACGCGTCTCATGGAGCTGGGTGCGATCACGAGCCTTCTACCAACTGGCGGTTGACTTTCTCAAACAGTCGTCGCTCGGCTACACTCTCAACCATGAGCCTCTCATGGTTAAGAAAATACTCCAGCAGTTCTAGTACACTTCATTTGAAAAAACCATGAAAAATAAGGATTTTTCAAGTAGAATGTGTATCAAGAAACAAATTTATTAATCAAGAAAGAAATGATTAACAATCTTTAGTTTAATGCATTAAGAGAACAAGGTTCTTAATAATATTAAACAGATTTCTGTTAACGAAGAAAAAGAAAGAGAA